AGTAGCAGCTACGACTTTGACCCTTCGGACAGTCTACAGCTAAGACTTCTAGACTGCCTAAACTCCTACCCGACAGACCTACAGTTCGAATCCTCTATACCTTGTAACCTACGAGATCCTACCTACCACTGGCGGTCCTACAGGGCGCAGGTTCAAATCTACGGGTTGACACGGTTACTGTACACAGGTAAGGTGAACTAAGGTGGGGAACTAGGGATCGAGCCCTGGGATCTGCATCAGCTACTGCGAAGTGGTGAATACCGTTTCACTATTTCCGAAACAAGATCAAACAATCACAAAAAAAAAAAAAAAAAAAAAAAAAAAAAAAAAAAAAAAAAAAAAAAAAAAAAACAGAAGATCAAACAATCACAAACATGGAGGAGGATTAGATCTGGTATTTACAAACGAACACAAGGACACACATGCAATTTGCAGAAAAACCTGACATATATACACGGGGTTACGTTCTGTTCTCTGTCTGTCTGTGTCTGTAGCATCCTGGAGGCCACTACACGGGCCCTCGAGCCCGACATTCTATCTCATGGCCCTTAGGCCGCACGGCCCCTTTTGCCACGCGACCTGGTGGGCCACGACCCTTTTCCAGGCCAGGCCCACGTTGTTTGCTTTCTTTTGTTTCTGCATTTTTTTCAGCATTTGCTTACTTCATTTTTGCTGAGGTGGCAGCTCATGGAGGTTGGGCGGGCGCAACGCTCCCACTAACGCGCGTTGAGACGCGAAGTTGCGATGGCGCTCTCACGAGGGCATGGCGGGTCAATATCGTGTGTGGCGATGGCGCTTCTTAGAGACTTCCATGGATGTGGAGACAGGAGGGGCATGAGGTTTGAGTAGCCTTGTGGGGGAGGGTGCCACGTGGCATAGGGTTATGAGGGCACTCTCTTTGTCTTCTGTGTTTAATCTGTCTTTCGCTTCTCCGGTTCTTTGTTGTCATGGGTTGTTGGATTTGGACTGAATTCTCTGTGTTGATGTGTTGACGGGCTTGACATGGTCATTTACAACGCAACCACGTTCGGGGAGTAACAGGGAGGCGGGGGCGTTTCACTAATCTCTTCTGGTTGGTGCACTTTGCCGTAGGGCTATGCTATCACCGGCTGTGGGGAGGAGGAGTGGCTCCTTCTACAGGAAGAGGCAGGGGCTGAGTTTGGTATGGACACGGTTGGGCAGCTGGACAAGGGGACTGCGGGAGCGAGCGGTGCGTAATGGTCTGCAGCGATCGGTGACTTCAGGTGAAGTTCAAGGCGGCGTCACGTAGCGACGGGAGCTCTGAGTGCAGTGTTTTTTTCAAACTTTAACCCTAAGTACTACACCGATAGATGATTTGATGGTTAGGGATGTCTGATTGGTGGTGTTGCTTGATTTTGTGTTGTAAATCGAAACCTAGTCTATTTTCTGATATCTTCTTGGATGGTGAATTGAATGTTGCCGATCTCAACATTCGACGGATGATCTGTTAATCTGATTCTTGTCTGATTCTTAATTCGTAATTCTCTTTTTCATAGATTGATGATTGAAGTTTACAATTGACTACTTTGTTCTGTACTCATATAATCATGTAAATCAGTCTTCAGATTACACATCTGGTACATTTTCTGAGCGACTTTTTGTATCCTTGGATTTGAAAATCAGAGCCATAAGCCTCGTAAGTCTATTTGGACACCAAAATTAATCTCCTAATCTTGTTTTCCGAAATTCAGCCGCACAATTTGATGTGTTGTGCTTCTGATGTCATAATCTGCGATTTCAAATAGTAGAATCCTATTTTTGATCGAAGTTTTGCTTTTCCTGAAACAATTTCCGTGCATGGATATTGATCTTCTAATCGAGTTGAAACATTGAATTCGTAAGTGCCGGAATTTCGCCCTGTAGAGTTGTATTCTAGTACCTTGTTTTTGCATTGATCGTGTGTGCTATACTTGGATTTGGATGGTGTTTTTTTTTTTCCCTCTAACCTTGAATTCGTAAGTGCCGGAATTTCGCCCTGTAGAGTTGTGTTCTAGTATACCTTGTTTTTGCATTGATCGTGTGTGCTATACTTGGATTTGGATGGTGTTTTTTTTTTTTTTTCTCTCCAGCTTACCCCTCCATGTTGGGGTCACATAGGTAGGGGTGAGTGCCTTTTGGCTACGTGGGGTTAGTAGTTGGAGGGATATGACGCGTCTTGTTGGTGGGGGGCTAGTTGGTAGGATGCAAATAGGGCACGGCAGCGATGGAGATGGTGGCGGTTTTTTTTCCCTCTCCAGACTACCCCTCCATGTTGGGGTTGCATAGGTAGGGGTGAGTGCCTTTTGGCTAAGTGGGGTTAGTAGTTGGAGGGATATGACGCGTCCTGCTGGCGAGGGGGCTAGTTGGTAGGACGGAAATAGGGCATAGCAACGATGGAGATGGTGGCTCCTCAGTGATAAGTCTTGCCGGAGTGGAGATTAGGGGGAGGGTTTAGGTGGTTTGGGTATGTCGAGCACGACCAGTGGTCGTGCTCGAAGGGAGCCGAATCTTTCGAAACCTTGGTTGTGGTGGTAGTGTTCAGTGGATCGTCCGACAATGGGTTTCGCCATCATATCCACAAGTTTAAGGTTGGCCGATGCCAGAACGACGCTGAGCTGGGGTTTGGTTGCGCTGCCCTGTAACCTGATTTATGTGGGGGTTAGAGGCCTGGTAGAGAGATCTGGGGAACTGTCAAGGGTGGAAGGCAGTCCACTGGCTAACCGCGAGCTGCTACTAAGACGACGTGGGTGGGAGCTGGGGTGGGTCGCGCCGCCCTGTAACCCAGCGGTTGGGGGTATGAGGCCTGGTAAAGCTTGGTATCTAGGATAGGAGGGTTGAGGCAGCTGTAGGCTGGGTGGTTGAATAGCACTGGGGTAACGTGGTTTTTATTATATCGGCTTCCAAATTATCCTAATTGGCTGTCAATTTTCACAAACAATCTTGTTGTTCTCGGTTGCTTTTGGCGGTCTTGAGAATGCTTTAGGATTCTGGGTACTTCTTGCAACTCAGTTTAGGCTTCTTTGATGCTGTTATTTTCATGGATCTGCAGTTTTTCGATGCCAGAACGACACTGGCTGGTGTTGGGGGCTTGCCCTGTAACCTGCTGATAGCAGGAGCATGAGGCCTGGTAGAGAGATCTGAGGATGCCTTGGGGCGGGCATTCCAAGGGAAAACCAAGGGTTACTGTCAGGACGACGCTGGCCAGAGCTGGGGTGAGTCGTGTTGCCCTGTAACCTAGCAGAGTGGGGGCATGAGGCCTGGGAGAGCTCAGCAGGGAATAAGACAGTGTTAGAAAATTTTAGAGGGTTTTGTTAGGGATTCCAGGGTTTCTGGGCATTCTAAGGACTTCTGTGGCTTTCCGTTTTGACTTAGTAATTGCTGCTTGAGTTGCCTAGCGATAGGTCAGCAGTTATCCATGTTTTTCCTAAATTTTCCTGAACTCCTTTAATAGTTCTCAGATTGTTCTTAGCCGAAGCCGGGTAATGGCCTTGGTATTTCAAATGACTTGTATAATTCTATATAGGACGCTGGGCCCGGTTCCCAGCACGTGCTGCTCCCCACGAATAGATTGGAGCATTTGTTAAAAAAAAAAAAGAAAAAAAAAAAGAGCTTTGTCTGTTCTACTTTTGTCTGGTTCAGATGTGTCGTTTCTGACCTTTCGGATTGTCTGAGGGACCAGTGAATTCACAGGTAGGCCGTTGTAGGCCTGGTTCAGATTCATAGAGGCCGTTGGAGGCCAGGTTCAGATTTGTCCGCATGCAGAGGACCAGGACTGTCGATCGACATTCGATTGGACTACACTGATTGTAGGCTGTGGAGGCACAGGACCAGGCCCAGCGCCGTATAGCTGGACCAGTGCCCAGCAGCGGACATCAGGGAGTCCTGCTGGTGCACATTGTTGGGCTACGCGCTGGAGCGCACCGTTGGTGTTCTCGAGCTGCGTCATAGCAGGTGGAGGAGATAATGGTACTAGGTGTGGAGGCTGGAGACCCATGGCTGCAGGGTATGAGGTCACTTAACTGGGCACCATCCCCGGGCTTCACTTCATGACCTGCGTCAGCCTTTGTCGACGCTGGTCAGTACAGGTGAGGGGGAGAGCAGATATCACTTTCTTGAAGTTTCTTCATCTCTTTCACCCAGCTCTCATCCGACCCTCCATAGCCAACTTCTTCCTCTTCTTCTCTTGCTGCACCAGAATTTGTGTTCTCAGTTTGTATTGCTTGCTTGCTTGCAGCTACATTGATTGGTTCCTTGCAGCTCCTCAGAAATAGATATGGAGCCAAGCTACGTTGCTGTTTCGACGTGCGTTCACGTTCAAACGCGCGCGTTCAAAGCGCGTGTGTGCATGTTCAAACGCGTCGAGTAGTGCCACGTGGCGTAGGATGGGAAAAAACTGAACGCGCGCC